CAGGCGCTAAAAAGAGCGTTTTTATGTCAGTGTTAGATGTAAAGAATGAAATGTAGGTTGTTGTGATGTATTAAAGTTCTAAACACAATATGGATACCCAGGAAAATATTTTATACACGTATATTTACGCATAAAGAATAACTTTATAGTGAAAACAGTCACCTCTTTAGATCTCAACATTGAGCATGTTTTCTCAGCAGAATCACTGATTTTATTAGTTAAATAAAAGTGCAAATAAAAGCAAAATAAATAACCTAAATATAAAATAATTTGGCAGCAGAAATATGCAAACAATATTTGTATTTGGTATTGATATCATGCCAAATTAGTGTTATATTCGTATTAGGCTTTAGCAAATCGATTAATCAGTTGGTCTATTAAAAAATTGGATGGCATAAAGTTTCTAAATTAAGATTTTTTTTATTTTTTATTAAATGAAACCAGGTTAAACTGAAACTTTCGACTTGAGGATTTCTATATAGAGCATATTAACAGAGGAAAACATGTTTTTTTAATCTTAAATGCAAATTGTTTATATATTTTTTACAATTTTGATATAATTACTGCTCTAATTGAGCCGTTCTGTCAGATAAAGTTTTACGGTCTCTGTAATACGATGAATCGATCACTAAATTAGTTGAATATTATTTCCATAATCATTAATTAATTCAGCCCTAATCCAGCTACAGCGTTTGAGTATCGATGCTTCTGCAGCCCCAGATCATTAATTGCTGCTCGTTATCTTGCATCTGGACAAATTTTCAAAGCAAACACAACTTATAGTTTAATAAATATAAAAAGGTGCAAAAAAAATGGACTTTTTGACAGATTTTTTTTCTAATTTAGACCTTTTTCTGCTCCATGTAGTGGCAAAACGAAAAATAAATGTTCCATTTCTATCTAAATATTATATTTAAAGTTATTTGTTTAATCTATTTCTACATCCTATATGTTTATATGGATATTAAAGTTATTTAAAGGTTCCACGGCTACAGCTGCAGAGCTTCTTTCAGCCGCTGAAGCGTGCTGACAGGAAAAAAAAGAGAAAATGTCTGCTGGGAGTGAAGCTTAGTGGATGTTTCATTGAAGATCTATGAAACATCCACTAGCGTTCAGTCAGATAGCTGTTTTTTTTCACTTCCTGTTTTCCTGGAGACTCTCGGGTCTTTTCTCTGTTTTTGGTCTGAAAATAGCTGCAGAAAATCAAAAGCTGCTAATAAGTTAATATACTGAGTTATAAATGGATTTAATGGACTCTGGAGGCCAGGACCGGGTCACAGGTCCCATCCTGAGACAGAACCTGAAATATCAGAACAGCTGTGTTTTAGTCTAACAGGATTGGTTGTGATAATCCAACTGGTTTACCACCAGTCTGACCAGTTAACCTCACCATCGTTGAACCCCTCGGCTTCTGTTTTCCTGCAGGAGAGGAAGATGAGCGGAGGGATGAACAGCATCGATGCAGTGAAGAAGAAGATCAAGGTGTTGCAGGAGCAGGCGGAGGAGGCCGAAGAGCGAGCCGAGCGGCTGCAGAGGGAGGTGGAGAAGGAGAAGAAGACCAGGGAGGAGGTATGAACAGGTTCTGGTCCGGTTCTGTGGGTCGTTTTATCAGACCTGACCCTGTACTAAGGTAGGCAGAGGGTTCTGGTTGCTGGTTTGATCTCCACAGCGTGTCTAAAGATGTTAGCAGGGGTTTGCTTCTCCGTACCTCCTGACCTGCTGCAGCCTGACGGGTCTCTGAAGGTCGACTGAACCTCAGGAGGTCGGAGCTTCCCAGGCGTCGCTCCAAAACAACGGAACAAGTTAGCATAACGCTTAGAAACGTATGGAGTGAATTTTGTTCCATTATTGCTGCAAGCAAAGAGCAGGTTTGCTATATGGAAATTAAGAAAAATAAAATGCACTCCAGAGATAAAACTTTACTTTTTCATCTATTTAAGGTTTTTAGAAGAGAAGAATTTTTAAAAAGTTTTCTTTTTTCACATTTATCAAATTTCAGATCGAGTTTTATGAATTGCCTTCTTTTCGCATCGCGATTTAAAGATCACATTTTCGTCACTTTAACCTCAATGCAAACACTCACCGTTGGCGCCGCTTTGTCCACTACAGGGTCATTTATCATATTAATATTTATTAAATAACTTTTTTTATTTTCTTTAAATACAATTTTTCGTTTAAAATTTCTATTTATGAAACTTGCTCTTTAACTGAACATGGAAAAAAATAGACTCCATGTGAAAGCTTCCTGTTTTAACACAATTTGGGTTTGACAAAAGCCCTGTTTGCACAATCGCTTGGGTTTTAAAAAAAAAAAAACGAGATCTGCGTATACGGTATATTTTTTTTAATTTTCCCGAAACAACAAAATTAAACAAAAGACAGCAGAGAAACTCCCAGTAGCTGAGATGGGAGGCCGTGTGTGAATCAGCTACAGGAAAGGATCTATTTAAAAGCAACAGCCTCAGAGAACAAACATTACATTAAAGATTCAGTTTACATTCTATTTGCATCCTGCTTTTTAGTCCAGGGAATCCGTCCAGAATCAATGGAAGCTTTGCTCTAAGCAGCGTGACTCATTTTCAATGGACAAACAGACGGAGGCAGAGGTTCCTGTCAGCGCCGCTCCCACAGTGGGAGGGGTCCACAGCAGCCCTCGCTGCTGGCTGAAGACGGTGAACTCGTAACGCTCGGTGCTTTTAGTCGTCGCCAGCCTCGACAACAGAGACGGGGTTCCCACAGGTTTTTAAAAAGTCTTAAAAGGCATTGAATTCTTCAAAATAAAACTAAGGCCTTAATTGGTATTAAAAT